TTCCAGATGCTCAAACTGGCCGCGGCGCAGGCGCGGATGCTGGAGGCGAGCTGTGGAATCCCCGAGCCCGCGTGCATGAGGCCATCGGCGTGCGCGAGCCTTTCTATTTGCCGTATGAGGGCAGCTGGGGCAACTGGCGGGGCCTCGCCGAGAGCACACACTAAAGCATGCCATTGTGGGCCCACGTGAGGGTGCGCCCGCCAGTCTGCCGCGGCCGTTGCGTCCAACTGGCCCGCAGCCGCATGCAAAAGGGGCACGTAAAGCCAGGAATGGCCACTGGGTCCGGGGTCCGCAACCGGCGGGCCCATTGTTTGCCAGCTCAACGGCGCTGGCAGATCAACTGGTGTGTAGCCTGGCGTGGCCGGTTCCATCATCGTGGGGGCGGTGTCCCCCGGCCTGTGCGGGAACGCGCTGTGCTCGCCGCACTGTTCTGGGAGACCCGGGTGGAGACGCGAAAGGGGTGACAGCACTGAGCGTGCGGAAACAGTTTCAACATCCGCCTGTCGTGCCAAGGGAGTGGCGTTGCCTGCCGCCAGGCCGCACCCGTTCAACGCCTCCATCGCCCGGGCACGCTGTTGTGCGAGCCTCGAAGCGAGCTCGCCGCTCGAGTTCGGCGGGCCGGGGTGGCTTGCCTCCGATGCGCGAACCACGGTGCGGGTGCGGCGTCCAGGGGCGCAGGCACGCTGGCAGGCGTCCTGCAGGGTCGCTGGTTGTTGTAAGCACGTGCCATGGAGCCATTACTGGCCCCGCCTCGGCCCGTTTGCCGCTGGCATGGCTGTCGCGCCGGTGACAGGTGGGCGGCCGGGGGTTGTTTGGAGGCCCGCGCGGCGGCGAGCCTTGCTTGTTTCCCTCGACCTCCCACGAAATGCCACGGGTTGGGGCGGCAACGTGTCCCGCAGCAACGAGCACAACAAGGCGGTGGTGCTGAGGCCTGAATGGGCTGCAAGCTCGGCGACCTCCGATTCGCCGCCCAGCTCCCACCTCCGCAAGACTTCCCAAGCGGCCTGAGCTGGTCGTGTCTTGGGGTTGTGCCCGCGGGACCGAGCGGCCCAGCCACGGCTGAGCAAAGCAACCAAGGCCATCTCGCGCAACACGAGCCCCAAGACCAGGCCAAGTGCAAGCCAACCCCAGCACGCTGGCAGAGGAGCGAGGCCTGAAGGGAAGTAAGGTGGCGCGCCCCAGCCGCAAGTCACCAAGGCATGCCCCAAACTTTGCTTGCATGTCGCGGGCAGGCCTGCTGTCCAAGCAGCTGTAGACGAGGAGGCAGACAGCCCCCAACTGGCGGCTTGCCACAGGGCTCCGGCCCAGTCCATGCCCGAGCTTGAAAAAAGAGATGCGACGCAATGTCGCAGTAATGGCTCGTGGTGTTGAGCTTGAGCCAATGCTACCTTGAGCCAAAAGCGTGCTGAGCATATGAAACTCCTTCTCCACGATGACGATGGACTGGAGTTGCTCGCGAACGCAGCAACCCTTCTGGCCCGGGCGCATGTCCCGCAGGCCTTCGCCTCAGCGGTTGCCTTCCAAGTCTGCAAACGCTGCGGTTCAATGAGCGGCAAACAGTACAGGAATGGGCTGAGGCTGCTGGCGTTGCTCCCAAGCGAATATATTGTTAACCCAATCTCGGGACCGACCTCATCAAGGAATATATATATCTCTGGGCCGGCCCGCTTCCGATCAGGGGGGCAGCGCCGCCCAAACATCTGACCACCACCCCGGCGTTGGAAATGATTGCGAGCGGGTTGAAAGGTTTATTGATTGTATTTACGGCAATCACCTCTATTTTTTTCGCCCCCCAAAAAAGACTGCAGGGAGGATATGGCTACCGCATGTAGTCACATGCTCAGCTGGAACAGGGGGCGTGGGCGGATACAGAGAAATGATTGCAGGGGGGGTTCAGCCAGAGAAGGCCGGAAGTGATTGCGAAGGGAGAGATTTAGAGCAGAATTAATTGCAAGGGCGGTATAATCCTTTGAGTGCGGGGTGATATCTGACCCCATTTCTTCGGGCTACGTCTTTCTTCTTTGATCCAGGAAAGCACTAGCACTGTGGGCACAAGCCCGGACAGTTGTCAACTCGTCTAATTTCTCCCTTCCTTGCCCAACTCCTTTTCCCAGAAAAAAATTCGGTAGGTAATAAATAATGTGCGCACTCATTGTTGGAAGGGACTCAAGCTCGCCCACTTCAACCCAAAACGCTCGAGCCCAAGTGGTCTGCAACCTTGCTCGCCCATGCCAGAAGCTGAGCATCTAAACGGTGACGCATTTCGAGGCTCCCAAGGACGTTGTCCGAACAGCTGATTGTACAATCGTTTGGCTTCTTTTTTTTTGTCGCACCTTTTCCGGCCAATCCGCGGTCCCAGTGCGAGGCATGACGGGAAGCCATACTCCAAGGCGACCCGTGGCACACTGCGAAAGTCCAAGGCAGGAAAAGTCCACGGCTGGAAAAACCCCACGGTTCACGGCGAGGCCCGCAGGGGCAGTCGGCTGGCCAGCGGTGGAGCAGAGAAGGTCTCGGCGAGGACATCGCTGAGATCGAGCGCCGCCCCGTCGACGTTGGCAGCGTTTCCCAACAAAAGGGAACGGAGGCTGGCTGCCACAGCGCGGGCTGCCGCAAACGAGAGCAAGGCAGACCAGCGGGAGACGTAAGCGGCCGTGGCACCCGACCGCAAGACATGCGGGGCCGAACGGGCACGGCTCCGAGCGAGCATCCGGACGAATTGGGCTGACACGTGCATCACTTGCCAACGTGACCGTCGTGTCAACTGAGGAAACAACAGTAATTCTCCAAAATGAGCTTTGACCGAAGCAACACGCGCACCCACCTTAAATTGCACGACAAACCCTATGGCAAGAAACAGCTGCACAGCCGGTTGCTCCTCCCAACGCGAGTTTTGCCAACCACGCTTGCCGTTGTCCGGGCACCTGCCGCAGAGCGGCAATTCCATGCAATTCCAGCAATGACGTTGCAAAGAATGCTGCCAAGGAACGCCGAACCGCAGTTCGCCCCTTTGGGCCGGCATGCTTTTAGTTGACCAACAGATTTTGGTGTGTGGTGCTGGGTTCCAGGCAAGCTGCACTTATGCCATGTGTTGGATGTCGAACATTGCGTTGAAAACAACGCATGGAGGGACACAAGGATTTCACCTACCCGCAATGCTGCCGCAACTGCTGGCGACCTTTTCACGAATTGGGTATGGATCATACCATGTCCATCCATGTTTGCCTGGAATCTACGCCCGTTACGGGTGCTGATGATTGCTGATGGCAACGCGTGTTCCGTAGATCGTGCGCGGCAGACGCGGTAATTCATTGCCGCGGATGTTTGCTTGGTGGCGGTCGCGGGTCGTCCTTGTTTCCTTGGTCGATGAAATGCTCATACTTGCCTTGATGCACAGCCTCCAGTTGCCTAGACCCGGCGGCCCATGACAATACCATCGAGTATACCCCTAGCAGCCCTGATGGTGGTATTCTGGACTCCTCCATGGACTGTTCCCCAATTCAAGCTCGTCTCGCCCCATGTTTCATATGAGCTTGTTGATGATGATGATGATGATACTGATGATGATGGTCGTGATGATGATGCAACATAGGAACAACCCCAAATGATGAGGCCGATTGGCATTCTATAAAGTCGGCAGCACAATCGAAAAACCCTCAATGGTGATCGGATTTCTTTCATACGACTAATGTCCGCAATTCGATGCCGAGATCGGTTATGGCACCCGGATTTGGGCCCATCAATGTCACGATCTGGTCTAGCGTCATCGTCTACATACTGACGTTTAATCGCGGGCCTCTCCTCCCCGAAGGCTGAGGGATCAAACATATTCGGAGTGCTCTACGTGAAACGGGACGCCATCCGATCATGTCCGGACTAGCGGCCAGCCGGCGCGCACTGCTCAAACGAAAATGTTTTGTTTCACGCATTTTTTGGTGACGTGAACAGGCATCGAACCATGATCGCAACACCACTCCGAATTGCCCCAGTGTAAATTTTGAAGTCGACCGACCTGCCCCCAGCACAATTCAACGCAACGGTTCCCAATTTCCATTACATGTGCTGCTTTGACGCTGGAGCATGAGCTGCACAAATTGACGCATGGGCTTGGAAACATGTCTGGTTGCTTCACCACAACCGTCAAGCGCGAAAACCGCGTACGGGATACAGATGCAGCTCGTACCGCCATCCACGTGTGAATGGAAAAACCGCGAGTGCAAGATATGGACCCGATATGTCTCGATGTTGCAGGCGAACCTCATTTTGAGGATTGACTATATGAATGGGACGAATCCCAGCCTCGAGTCAGACCACAAATAGGCACTTGGTGACACTGTGCATAACAAATATTGCAGTTGTACAATCGTCCCATCACACTCACGGGCTCTGGACTGCCATTCTGGCAGGCAGACAGAGGGCGATTGTTAAACTGTTGATTTGGATTTGTTTTTGTTTTTTTTGCAGTCAAGCAAAGCGAACCCAGCCAGCGCAGAGCCAAGTCCAGGCCACACACTCATGGCAGGATATGGCATGCAGCAGGCAAGTGGCAGACCGGCAGTGGAGCCCGCGCGGCGGGAAAAAAAAAAGGAACGCATCTGCAAATACAAAAAAAGTGCAGGCCAGCGCTGCTTGTACGCGGCTGCGCGTGAGGAGGCCAGGCCGTTCCTGGCACGGGCCTGGGTCATGAGGCGGATGACGCTGGCGGGTCAAAATTGCAGCGGCCACCAACCTCAAGGGCGAGGACGTCCAGGCGAGCACGCGCAGCCTTGGCAAACTCGGGATACGTCCTCTCTGGGGAAACCACAATGGTGTCGACCGCAAGCTGCATTCCCCGCACAAAAGCAACACATTAGCAATGACCTTTATCCGCCGCTCACCTTGCCTGGCAGGGTCGACGTCGACGTGTCGGACCAACAAGTTACGCGCGACCGCTGCCCTAGCTTCTCAGCACACGCAACCCGCTGCTGGTTCGAAAAGGCCGCCACGATCTGCCGCGTGCCCTCAGCACGCTTGACTGCGGGCAAGCTGCAATGTGATCACCAGCTGTGGTGGCATCGGCAACGAGCTGCGGTGAGAGGCAACAGCAATCAGAGCCGGCGCAGCAGGATAGTGCGGAATAGCGGCATCTCCAGCACGAGCTCACGGCAGCGGGGCCTTGCCGTCAGGAGGCATGCAACAAGCAGTCCAACCTGGGAATCCGACATGGTTTTGGCCGGGGCATCGCCTTCACGCAGGAAGCTTGTATGGCCAAAATCATCAAGTGACTGGGACACCAGCCCTGGGTGGAGCCGATGGTGCTTATTTGCAAGCACGACATTCAGGAAAGCCTGGAAGCACTTGCTTGCCACAAAAAGAATCGCACGCAGCCCGAACTGCACATGCGTTGTCCAGTACATCTGCTGTGGAAAATTCATGGTCATAACTGATTGCTACCCGAAAAAAATGGTTTCAATGGGTACAATGTGAACATGGGCTGTTTAATCGATGATTTGGAAGTGGCAGGGCCTAAGCCTAGGCTGTCGCGCGCATGGTCTGAATTTATGCATGTCTTGTGTGTGTGTGTGTGTGTGCGCTTGTGTTTTTTCCATGGCTTTTTTTGCGCCAACAATCCCAGTTTGCTCCCCGGTCCCCTCTTTAGCTCTGCACCCCATAGCAAGCTGTCCCGGCTTCTTGGGTATTGTATTGGAACGGCATCATGCACATCACTGCCCAACATGCACTGGCTACAACGCTCCTCGGGCTGCCAATTACATCCGGGGGGCTTTGCGGGTTGCCTTGAATGCGCCTCCGGGCAGGACGCACTTGGTGCGGACGCAAAGCGTGGCGAGAAAAAACTAAGAGCTAAGCTTGCGGGGCCGGGGTTCCGCAAGACGTCGACACTGTGAATCACAGCATAAGCACAGCTTTTTTCACCAACAATTGCAACAGATGACAAAAATTGCAGAGGCAGACGATGGTCGCATCCGGGCCCGGCCCCTCTTGCCAGGGAAGCAGGGCTTTGATTTTGTTTTGATTACACTTGGCGCCGTTCTGTTGTTTTTTTAATCTCGAGCCCGCCTAGCCGGCATGATGTCAGAGAATTGCA